TACATTACTTCCATGTCCTTTTATATTTTTGTCCATTTAGCATTGCGTTTGCTTATGCACCAATCTGAATCAGTTATATCTAGCTTTTATCTAGTTCATTTATAATGTTAGTTTCATGATTGATATTTCCTAATTTTTAGGGAGGGTTACATTATACAAGCCTTATAGGCTTCTTTCCTCCTCCAGCACACAGTTTGTTTCCTTTGTTTTGCATATTTGTTGATTGATGTTCGTCTTTTTATTTGTACAAATAAATAAATGAAAAATGAAATGATTGGCGACACAAAACATGTGCGTACGTTTGTAGTTGACATTTATATTAATTGTTATTTTTATTGAAACCTCTGTAGATGTGCCTATCTTCGTGGTGGTGACCAAGATCGACAAGTGTCCCAACCAACACGATCTACAGGAGCGTGTTAAGGATGCCCAGGCCGCCTTTAACCTCACAGGGAGCCAAGTGCGATTCAAGCTGACTTCGCTGTACTGCGAGGACCTTACTCTGTGGCCTGACCCATCCGACTACCGAGTTATGAAGCCAGATGCAAAAATCGACAGCAACTTGCTGAACATTTGGATGAGTCTGACCGATCCGAATATCAAGGCCATACCGGCTCCGCCCGAGCCCAAAAGGATCCCCCCTGCCAGACCGGCTCCCGCCGAGCCCCAAAATAACCCGGCTCCGAATCCGCCACGGCAAGGGCGGTGGTGTGTTCTTTCGTAAACAAGGGCTTTCACACAAACTCCCGCATGAAGCGGCTCGTGTTCGTTTATAAACATCTGCCCGTCTTTGTAACTCTTTTTTCTAGTCACATATCGATCAGGAATTGACTCAAATTTAACTTGAAGCAGGGTTAAGTGTATGCTATTCAATATTTGATTATGGCTTTGTTTTCTGTGTTAAACATGTATAGGATATGTTAGAACGAAAGACAACAACATTTTACCAGTAATGTACATATCTGCGTTGTTGGTAGGGTGGCACCTGTGAGTTTTCCATGCAGCCTGAATATCACTGTTACATGAAGATAAAAAAACTATTGGTTTGCTGTTTAACTATCCACTTTTTTCTTGAACACTGTGAACTCTGTCCCTGTTTGTTTCACCAAAGCAGTTACACTTGGTGTGCTACCAACAAGTGGTCTATTTTGTTGGAGACCTGACAAGCTTTGTGTACATGTGATAGTATATAGGCTTACGTATACATTTGAAAGTCATGGGATCATGTTTTGCTGATTGAATGTAGCTTCTTTTATTTTCCAACTACACGTTACTGTACTCGGTTTAATTTCTCAGCTCAAGACTCCTTGAGACTTAAGCCTCGGTCACAACCCGCCGTACGTGCTTTTTGTCCGTACGTTTTTTTGGGAGGCTACGTCTACTACGTTTTTTCTGAAAACGTGAGGAAAGAGTGGCGTCGACGCGCGTCACTCACACGGTTTCGCAAGGTGTAAGAGTGTGGTCTGCACGCCACGTCTGGCCGTGAGCGGTTGCGTGCATCGTACGTTGCGCAAGTGGTAAGTGAGTTGTACGTGTTTACAACGTACGATCTCTGTGCGATTGTTAATCTATCGTAAGGAGGCCGTACTCACACGTGCTTCTTCCTCACGGCACGTACGGGGCACGCGCGTCGCTCATACTCGCAAGCACGGGTGGTGAATACACAGACCGCACGTAGAAAAAGTTTCACATGCACTTAAAAGTTCTACGGCGTGTCTGCGTGCTCCCAAATCCGTAGGATTCCGTACGGAGGTGGTACTCACCACGCACGGATGCCCTACGTTTGCCCACGTTTTTGCACGTAGACAGCACGCAGAAGCACGTACGGTGGGTTGTGACCGTAGCTTTACACGAGTCCAGCACTCGGTCGGTGGAGAACTTTATGCAGGCAGAGCTAGAAACGAAGCTTGTTGTTCAACTCAGCTATCAAACGAAGCAGTTGCTTCTATACGCGAAATGTCAGTCAAAAACCACCAGTGTTTTAGCATTAGAATGATTTATGTATAATCGGTGACATACCATGTACTATCTCAAAAATTATTTACGTTTGTATATTGTTGTAGACACATTACGAAAATCACTATTCCTTTCGGTTGTATCAATAAAGTTCAGTCTGTACTATATGCTGGAGTGAAGCGATTCATTCAGCCGATACGTTTGAAGACGACACGCCGCGGTCAGTCAGCGGGACGACACCGTCCAGCCTACCGCGGTTCCACCGCCAGGAAAAAGATTCTCATCGCTGGCAGTTGTACCTAACCTGGATACAGGAATTTTCCCAGGGCCTATACAAACGAGTTCCCCGGCTCCGGGGCCAACATGTCCGCAAGGAAGTTATACCACAGCCCCTCACAGTTAGACCAGACTGTTTCCAGGGCCTACACAGGCCAGTTTCTCGGCTCCAGGGCCAACATGCCCCCAAGGAAATTATTCCACCCACCCCTCCCCCTTAGTTAGACCCTGGTTCATGCTGTCTAACTCCGGGTCTATGCCCACAGGGAGCAATTTATAGATGCATTTTCATTTCCTGTGCATCTTATAGATCACTACTTAGTGGTTTTATGTCATTTTAATACATCATGACTGAACAATGAGAACGAGAAACAACGTCAAGTTATACACGAAAACGTGAACTTTATTCAATGATTTCTAAATACTATGGCGTAAAAAACATAAATGTTGTGTTAAGTTGTTTTCAAAGTAAAGTACGAGCATGAGCCAAATAATTCTTTTTAGCTGAGAGAGTTACATAGCATGTGGAGTTTTGTGAAGTGGTTTCACTTTCGTTATCCTCTAAGCTTTACAAAACACTACATATCAATTTCAACATGAAACGTGACTAAATGGACTAGTATCTACATATGACAGCTGAAGTACAGAATAGGAAATTTCTACACGTACAGATTTTGAATCTACACTCACAGGTTGGTACATAAATGGTAACACAACACTCGATCAGCTATATGCGAAACATCGACGGAATAGTAAAGAACGAACATATTTCAATGGACGAAAAGCATCTGTAAAAATGTATTCCATTCTGTCAAACGATTTATCCAAGAATTTAATAAGAACCAGCATTTAAACAGCTTTTAACGATTCCTCGTGAACCTTCGAGCCTTACGAAACAATGTGTGATATTCAGAGTGTGGCCCACTTGCTGATAAATTCTTTTTGATTTCTACTGAGTTGTCTATAGACGGTCAGGAAACGGCCGACCTGGGCTGTGTCGCTGAGCCGTGGTGAAGGGGTGATACCTGCCATGCTGTGCAGCTCGGAAATACCCTGGCTTTCGGCGTGATCGAACATGAGGAGTAACACACCTGAAATACATTGGGCAACATGTATGATTGAGAAGCTCAATTTCGCGTTTAATGGTTCCGGATGATATTCACAAAATAGTAAAGAGAATGAACAAATAGCATAGCCGATGGTTGAATCTGTATTTCATTAAACATACACGATCGCAAACTCGATCAAGGCATTTTTGCATTGGGATTGTCATGCATTTTGCCCTTGAGCCGTATATTGTTACAAAACTGTTGTTTCTTTCACAGCGTGCCTGAAAATTCTACGCCGTCAAAATCGTCCCACGACCGTAGTCGAATATGACTGCCTGCTTCGTTGCGAAGACACGTTTGCTTTTTAGATCTAGACCAAATTTCAAAGTATCACCATAGCCGACGGAATGCCCTTATAATTTGAAAACTGCACTCACCACTCTTATCCCCTGTATATGCCTCCATCCTGTCGAAGGCACGAAATCCCAGGTCTGCTTCCGGTTCTAGAGCGCCCTGATTGTTGAAGGAAATGTTCCTCTCGGCGTTGCGAACACAGCAGATGGCGCGATTGTAGATCGGCAGTTCGGCCACGGCCTTTCTGTTGGTGACGAGATGCTCTTCAACCGTGTAGAAACCACCTGTAGCTTCTCGGACCTGTTCAGCGATGGTGGATAGGGTGTGCTGGTCTGCGGCTATCACGCACAGGCCGTCGATGACTTCTGGTCCTTTAGTCCGCCCCTAAAGAAACGAATGTTAACTTAGAGGAGACATAATATCTATCAATCATTTCCCTGTACTAGACTAAGTATAGCTAAGTATAATCCTTTTTCATTTTTCACATGTTTTATTGGCAGTGTAGTTTGTATAGCTAAGATCCGGGAGGTGCACTGACACCCCAAAACATGTGAATGTATTTCAAACAAAACGATTTTCAAGATTTTCAAGATATCTTTATTGAGCTATCGCAGTGAGAATATCACTGAATTGCAGTCAATTTAAAGGCAATTTGTTTTAAAAACGCTCACAAAGACATATAATATTGCACATAATTCTGAATCCTTTGGTTAAGAATACTTGTTTGCAGGGAAGTATATTACTGCTCGTAAGACTAAGATCTTTTAGTTACAGCATAAAAACGTTTAAAAAATGTACACGCAATATTTGGAGTTATTCAGTTTCACATGGTTAAAAGTAAGTAAATTCAATATATACAAGTTAAGAGTTCTTTGATTTCACGATGAACAGTATAAACGAAATTTACAAATGTCATTAAGGATGATTATTGTCCGTATTTGTTCAGTAATGAACACATGTATGGGATAGGGGAATTACTGTACATTTTGAAATTTAGCAATTTGTTTTATCCCAGCCGGAAAGTGGCGTGGCATATCTTTGATTTGATATAAAATTGCAAAGATGAGAAGAAGAACAACCACGACTTCAAATGTGTGTTGTCAAGTAAAGAGGGTTGTCAATATTGAGTAGCTTGAAGACAAGTCGGTCAATGTAATGTTACCACTCACTACAGTGCCTGTGCTTGTGTTTTAAGCCAAAGGACGGTCATACTGTGCAATTGATACATGAAAAGACATCAAACTGATCTTGTCTTTATGACTTAGATATTCAACAACCTTTTGTGGTGAAAGACCACTAAATCGCTACGCCAGCATTGTAGCACAGATGTTAGAGTCATCATCAAAACAACAACTTAAGCTGCATGTCAGGGACAAACGCAACCAAAGACTAAAACGCACCTGGGTGCCTTCCTCCAGAAGACCTCTATTTTCAGCCTCAGACCTTTTACAGTAGCCCTTGTACAACAAGTAAGCAGCTATGAATAAAACAGCAAGGACAAACACAACAGCCAGAACAATGACGGCGATCGTGCCGTCCTCCATGGTCATGTACAGAAAGACACACGCGGTTAAGATGGCGGGTAAAATGTAGATATAACGTAGTTGTGCCAGACTGGCCATGTATCGCCGTGTGCCGACAGCACTGGGTGATTGTGATCATGTTTGTTTGCTGGCTTAGACAGCTCAGCTGCCATTGGTCACACCTTTGACCTATCGGAAGGTCACGGGGCGTATTGGGGTTTTGAGTGACAGTTCTTCAGGTGTGACGTTACCTGAACTATGTCTGCCATTGCAGAAAATACCATGGTGGACAAACTAAGGCTTACCAGAACTATTATGATTCTTTCAGCAAGATTCAATTGTAGTGCTAGTACACGTATGTGTATTCAGGGACATTATATGAATGTCCTTGGTGTACTCACATGCATACCGATTATAGACTGACAAATCTGACAAAAAATTCGGTCGTCCCAAGGACAGAATATCCAATATATAATGTTTGGCCGTCCTTACCCATAATTGTGCTACGCTTCCCAACGTCACATTTGATAAGTCAAATTTGATACGCAACAATATTTTCTCTCTTCTTATCGCAACACGAATTATAGTGCCTCAAATCTTGAGGTTGAGGTAACTTCTGCAACAACTTAAGAGAACCGTAACTGATATACCTTTTTACGTTGATTAGGAAGGGCGACAGGGCCCTTCCAGGGTTGATTTGCTGTGGTGACCTTTTCTTGTTTCTCGCTGAAGATCCGTGAGATTAAATCCCCCATGCATATGTTTCCTCAACTATGGACATTCTTCTAAAATGCGTTGTCCCGGTGAAACATTGGAAAGTATACGTAATACTATGTGCTACAAGAATCAAATAGGCGACCACCGCGCTCTGCCAAAATGGACACAAATACTCTCCTTGGGTTCTGACCATGTATGGGGTTACTATCGTTCTTTCCTCCCATCATTTTCTGACATATCTAATCAACACCGTACGTCCTGAGTATACGTACCAGCTTGCAATGTTTATCTTTTTTTTTTCAAAATGCATTTATGGTTAACATTAGAAAAGTGTTGATGAAAATGTTGCATATGGTCACAACAAGTGACGTGCTAAACACATGTACCCTCGCACCTGCTCAAACATCTAAAATGGTACCAGACATATGTGTTAAGCATTGTTCAGACCTAGAAATATTTTTAAGTCTTCCTACGACAAGAAATATTTGTTCACCTTTTGAATACCAACATGTCCTATTTCTTTTCCTTATCTTTCATTATCATTTTTGTTTTTCAGTAAGCTCGTTTGGGGCGTGAAAGGGTGTGTATATTTTTTTCTATATCCGCTAGCTTCTAACATAAAGCGCAACATTTTTCATGTGTCATGCATGACATTTGCTTCTCAACAAAAATGTCTTTTACTGCTATAAAGTTGATCTAAAACAACGTGGTACTGTTCTCACCTTCAGCTGATTCACTAATACGGCTAGCCTTTTTGTCACGAACTGCCACAGCGCAAGGCACAGCCTGATGATACGGCTATTCCGTATTTCAGGAGGCACCAAATCTAACACGATCCTGGAGGCTTTGTCCACCACGCCTGCTGCTATCCTGTGCGTTTTTGCTCACCACTGCCATGACAAGCACCACAACGAACATGACAAGGTACACGGCATGTTGGTACAACCATGCGAGTATTAGCGTAAGATTTCCTCTGTTGGCCTCTTCCATGTTGGCATCGGCCTCTTCCATGTTGGCATCCAAGAATGGGGATGAAAGTTTGAATTTCGCAACCGTATATCAAGTAGTGTAACATACAGAAAAGGGATATGGGAGTATCCCATAATTCACCTGACTATGGACAGGCTTACTTGAGTTATAGGTCAGTCAAGTCATTATTGCACCTGGCTTGCATTTGCATAAAACTGTGCTATAAAATCATGAATTTCAAAAGTATTTGATGTATAGAAAGATAACCAGTTCATTTACACCTATTGATATACTAGTACATAGTATTAAATACATGACCTCCATTACTCTCTACACCTGGACATATAAGGTTACATACATGTACAAAGCACACATGAACAATTTCATACACCTGATGCGAAGTAGAGCCACTACAGTAGGGGTAAAATTTGAATGTTTTTGATACCGTACCTTTCTTTCTCCTGACCCTTTCAGCGTATAAATCCAAAGGAAGAGTACGAGGCTGAACGCGCCAATGACTACAGGCGGTTTTGTTAACGTTGTGAAAGAGATAGGGAAGTGTTTGGAGACAATGTAAATGGCGATACAAACGGCACCCATGCCAGATAGCCGAACTGCGTGAACAATCAGTCGGTTTTGCTTGCTTCCCTCAGGACAATGAAACTTCACAGCACGCAGAAGTTTCCTAACGTTGTCACGTAAAGTGGCCCTATTTTGTAGCAACCGATAAGCTCCATAGATTCCAAGCGCACACGTAGTTACGGTTAGACCCGTCCTCAAATCCAGCTTCCACCGTGACGCGTCCCATGCCATGTTGAAGGAAAGGGTTTCTGTTTAAGCAATCGTTCCCAGTCTCGGTTTCACCGATTCTTTAATATTAGACTGATCCTGTTTTGACCTACTCGCTGTAGTGTTCTTAAGCCGGAACGACGCTCGGTAAGACATGAACTTCGAACTTTGTCACACGACCTAAAGTCCGACTAGGGCAAGTTTTCATTGCACAGATAAAAAACGCCACCTGGCGTATTGCTATCGTCTCTTCATACCGTTGTTGAAACATTACTAGAGCGTCATATGCAGTGATTAGTTAGTATAAATCAAACTAAAAGAATTAACTAAAATAAGAACTATGACATAATGTATGTTTTTAATCTATATTTATTGACAAACAACTTTTTGCAGCTCGTTGGTCATCTTCACGTACATAATGATATTTTTCAATTCAACATTACAAAATGCGTTCCTTCAATGAAACATACATCAACTAAAAAAAAATAATCAACTTTTTTGGGGAAGATGAAAGAACTAGAAATACTACATTACAACTGTACCTCAACTGACTTCAAGTACTAGTAATTCTCACAAAATATCGTGTTGGTCCCTCTTTGATAGCCTATTTTATACTAATCTTTACACAAAAGTTCAACTCGGGCTTGTTAAAATTAACATCTAGTATTGCCAACGAATCTGTAGATACATTAATGTGACCAGTACATTTTAAAATAGCACCATCAAAATGTCATAACTTTGTTACATTGGCCAATAACTGATAATTTCAGAAAGTGCAATCTCTGTCATTGGCTAATAACATAGCGATCTGATGACAGACTAAAAACATTGTGGTCCTGACATAACTGAGTACCAAAAAATTAATTAATTCCTGAAAACATTCCGTGCATGTTTGTACATTCAAACCGTGCAATGATTGGATCAAACATGTTACATTTTTTTTTTATTTATTCCAACATGTAATCACCAGACGTGGTGACGACACACTCAAGTTTCTTAAACTTATATTAATGCCACCATCAACACAGGGGACAAATACATGACAGGACAATACTCATTTACACCTGAGCTAAGTGAGGAAAGCCGTGTAAAGTTTCCCAAGGGCACAAGATCGGTGGCATGTCAGGACTCGAACCCGGGACTCTCAGTTCCGAGTCGCGCACTCTGCCGCTACGCTGTTACATTATTTACCATATTAGGAGAGAGGTGCCTTTGCATAGAAAGTCACTAGATCAAGATTCTCTCTATACAACTATGGATTTTAAACATACATTTTGTTCACTATTTTTCCCTGTTTGATAACACATGGCTCATAAAACTGTTTAAATTTACTAATAGATAAAAGACACAATCAATGTGCCTCTGATAAAATCAACACCTGGTTTTGTTGATTGTCCCAGTCTCTTGTCATGGCAGCTATCTCAAATTTATGATTCAATATATTACCATGAAAAATTTTCAATTAAGCTTATTAAGTTAGATTATTAATTATATTATAATTCATCCCTGTCAAAGTATTCAATTGCAGTGTGGACATCCAAGGCACTGGTTTGATGTGGATCAGTGACAGACGAAAATGAAGTCATTCCCCACTGTCCATATACTGTTGTTCCAGTTTTGTTTCACTGCCCTTTGACCTTTGGTTTGTTGAGGTCTTCTGGTCCAAAGTGACAGGGTAGCAGCTCCCCCACAGTCATGGCACGGTATGACAGGTCAGGCTTCGTCAGGTATACAGTCCAGTCTGTTCCAAACTAGGCAAGGCAAGACAGAACAGGGGCATTCATTTAAGAAAATAGGTGCACTAGAGAAAGTTACAACAGTTACTAACACTACTGTCCCTGTCCTTGGTGCTGAACATGCCTACACTAAAACTACTGTCCCTGTCCTTAGTACTGAACATGCCCACACTAACACTACTATCTCTGTCCTTAGTGCTGAACATGCCCACACTAACACTACTGTCACTGTCCTTAGTGCTGAACATGTCATCACTAACACAACTGTCCCTGTCCTTAGTGCTGAACATGCCCACACTAACACTACTGTTCCTGTCCTTAGTGCTGAACATGCCCACACTAACACTACTGTCCCTGTCCTTAGTGCTGAACATGCTACCACTTGCACTGCTGTCCACAACATTTTTTTCTGACGCTGAAATATCCAAAATTTTCTGTATACTCAGCCTTTACAGTTGTTTATACATACTCTACACAAGTAGCGACCACTTTAACAGGATAAAGAAGAGGAGTATCTAGCAAAGCTCCAGTTTGGAGTGCCCAAGTTTGCACATATAGTACAGTGTACTAGTATTTTAAACCCTGATATATTCTTACCTCCCTCATGACCTGTCTACAGCTGCCACATGGTGCCAAAAACTCATTCTCCACCTCCCTATAGGAGAGATGTTGAAGACATCAGTAACTTGTAACTCTAGTGTAGGATCTAAGCAATTCTTGAAGTGAACTCTTTACATAGTAAGTAGAATCACAGAGTAAAATTGTGATAGTGGAATGTATGAATGTGTTAAAAAGCTACAATCTTTTGTTGCTGAGCCCAGTTTATTGTTGTATATCTGAGGCTAAACACAAGTCAATCACATGTTAATGATTTACTTGAGTATGTATGTTTGAATGATCATTATATTTTTCACAGAATCAGAGGGATATAATGCATAAATACAAGCTTCAAGATACTCAAATAAGACTCATCTTGCCTGAACAAGATAGGTTCTAATACACAATGTCATTCAGATCCAACCTTTAAAATTTTCTTGCTTTAGTGACGATAGATATTAGTGATAAATTTGATCACTCCAAAGATGATTGTTTCATACCCAGCTATTGCTATGGCCCTGAATGCCTTGTACCCCTCTGACACTGCTTTGAAGATAGCTGTCCTCTCAGCACAACAACTCACAGGGTATGCAGCGTTCTCTACATTGCAGCCTAGAATGAAAAGTGTAAACGATTTTAGGAAAACAGTTCTATCTGAAAGCGAAACAGGTAAGGAAATGTCCCAAAGCATATCAACTGTGTTTGTAACTATGTTTGTTTGTATTCCTAATTCCAAACTTTCATTGAGAAAATTGACTATCCAAATGAGATTGCTTTGCTTTGAAATTCAGGTAAAGGCCAAGCTTTGAGACATTTCTCCCTGTTTAAAGTGATTTTGCACACATACGTTGCCACAGCCATAGCTTTAAATGTCCTGTGCCCTTCTGTAACAGCGTTGTAGATAGCTGTCCTCTCTGCACAGCAGCACAGAGGATAGGCAGCATTCTCTACATTACAGCCTACAATGGATCAAAGTCACCATTACAGGGTGTAAGGAATAGATAAAAACACTCCTTTAATTAATGTGTATTTCTGAACCTGCATTGTCAACAACAAAAAAATCAGAACAAGCAAAAACCATTCATGTCAGTCACATTGCATTGTTTACTACATTTTTGTACTGTTAAAAACAGTTCATATTGTGAACTCTTCACTGTCATAAACTTAACTTTCTGTCTACTAAGGTAGCCATTTGGCAGCAAATTTGTGTTGATTATTCGGTTAGGCAGCTGCAAAAGGGTTAAACAAATATACAGTACCAGTGAAGGTGATGCCATCCTCTGTCAACAAAGCTGCTCCTACGTGGAAGTTACTGTAAGGTGCGTAGGCCTTCTTCTTAGCCTGGTGGCTTTTTGCCACCAACTCCTGTATCTGTTCATCTGTGTGGATAGGACATTAGGTGATTAGAAGAGAAATTTCTGGTTATCATTAATGCATTGTAGCTGTTATATGATATGGGTCAATTCACAAAAATTAAAAAAATGATTCAATAATAAACATTTATTAAGTAATTGAATCAACATATTATTAAGAAATCCCTGACAACCCAAAAATAGAATAGTCTGCATAGAAAAGCTTTTTTTCTATGATTTTAATTTAATTAAGTAAATGGTGCTTTTGTGTATGTGTCACGCCCTTTTTGGTTGCCACACTGTTAGACAACTCCTTTTCAAACTACTGGTCCACTGCCAAGCTATGTTCACACAGCAAATAACTGCTTGACATTGCAACTTGTAGTGTCGACGTCGACACAAAAAAAAGGTGGCGCAGAACATTAACAGCGAACAAAATATTACATGTAGCATTACATAACTATGATCGGATCCGTTTTATAATTAGAACAAAACAAGAGAAGAAAATGATATTTAGATGTTATTGCACACTTTTCCCAAAGCTTTCATGTGTATCTTAGAGTCCCGTGATTATCGGTTTAAGGACTTTGGAACATTTACGCTTTACTTCCGTGTATTTAACCTTCTTGAACAAACAAACTTCGACAAGTTTAAAACACACTTCAAATTTAGAAACCAACGTTGTCCGGCTTGATTTTTGGAACACGGAGAATTGTTTCACAAATATTCTGGGACAGTAGTTTCTATAAATGACTATGATTACTTTTTAGAAGGAAAAATCTGACTAGCTTTGGACTAAAGCGAATAAACAGGAATATTTACCTGAAAGACTTGCAGACGCCGCACTTTTTTCAGCCATTTTGTTCGGAGTGACCTTTGCCCCCAATGTGAACGTGCAATACCAAACGTAACCAGTAGGTGACGCTGTGGTCCGGTCCACATGTGACCCCTGCCTTTCTTTCTCATCTTCGCCTCAGGAAAACCTCATGTTTCTGACTTTAGCGCGCTACGTGAGGACTCCTCCACCCGATAGGTGGTGGAAGAGGAGATATGTCTTCAACAACACATGGGTATGTTTTCCATGGGTGAAAAATCAGGCTATATCATAAGCTTTTAGTATGTTGGCATGTGTTGTGATAAACTGATATGGGGAGGGGGGCATATCTTTCATCCCAAGGGCAATTTAAAGGTTCTTTATAATTTGTGGCCTTGCCAGAGATTAGAACCCAGAGTTTTGAGTCAACAGTCCTAATCCCAAAGGCCACACTACTAGTGCACCGTTCAAAACGCTGACAATTATATATTTTCATGCATTTTATGATTTTCCTTCTGCACGTATGATGCAGCCTCTACCAGGCTTCAGAGGAGGCAGGAAAGAGTAGAAATTGGCCAAATATACAGATAGCATGCCAGGGGAGTGGTTCTGCTGAGGAGTACACTTTGCTTCTCTTGTACGCCACCTTTAGCGGACTAGATAACTCCTAGGCTATAGCATGTTTATAGCTGCCTATGAAGCTTGGTAGAGGCTAAGCCCTGGCTACCTCACAGCTCAGAACCTGTATCTGTGTTTCTCTTCCAGAGATTTTGGGGCCGACACAGAAACTGTTATAAGATAGCGATCCAGTCCATGCAGCACGCCTGGCGACAGGCTAAGAAGGGACGCCGAGAGAAGAAAAGATTTGTGCGAGGGGTGAGTGTCTTCATACTACTACTAGTACTAGTATTCCGGCACAGAAGTATTATTTTGAGGGGTAATTTTGTGAGTTTGTGTGTTTGGAGTCTGAACAGCACATGGGTGAGAAGATTGACAAGAACAATAACAGGATGAACTAAATATAAAGAAGTATTTGCAGTAACCAGTCCCAATTACTGATAAGTATGTCATACAATCTCCTTGGTCAGTCCAGTAAATTCATGTGGAAGGTTGAAATCTGTGATAGAGCATGGATAAAATTAAAAACTGGTAGTATCAGAATGGATAGTGGCTTATAGAAGTGTTGTTGTTGTATATCCTGACAGCTGTGGATAGAACGACTCAAAGCGGCTTCAGAGGAACACGGTCTGCCCTACGAACATCTAGTGGTTGGACTGGACATGGTGAGTACATTTATGTCAATACTGGGCCATAATAACGTTTGATACGGGTGTTTTGGCCCGTGTGATAACTGGCCGTATCACTCAGGGTTCTAACGGTTATCACACGGGCTCCCACAAGTTCCATAGAATAATTCAAACATGTTTTGCAAGCACTGTATTCCAAAATCCGAATTAGACATTGGAATGTTTCTTTTCTACCATTTTATGTTAAAGGACACCAAATTTTCTTAACTTCAGGTCCGGTAAATTTCGTATTGAAATGTTTTTGTTTTTTTTTGGGGGGGGTGAGTCTGACATAACTAAAATTTAACATGGTATGTTTACCCGTGTTTTCAGGCCCAGGTGCAGATAGACAGGAAGGTGCTGACTCATCTGGCCATCTACGAACCCAAGACTTTCAAATCCATCGCAGAGATCGCCAGAATATCGTACGGAGAGGGACTGATGGCAGCGACCGGGAAACAACCAGAGGGGGTGTTTACAAGGATTGTCCGCTGGGAGTAGGGGGGGGTTTGATAGAGGTGGGGTTGTAATAGAGGGGGTATGGAATCATATTCAAAATGTGAAGATAGTGATGTTTAAAAACTGCTATTGTGTGATGTACCATCTAAAATGTACAAAAACATGTATGTGCACTACACCATTAATTTCCTTCTTATTTTTGCCATCACAGAAAATTGCAATTCTTTTCTATCACTAACATTATAGCACCTTCTGTTATCTTGCCCCTCAAAGTGATATGAGAACTAGTTTTTGAACATAAGTTTGAAATAAAGAGTAACATCAGATACATCTCTGTGCATCCATTTCACAAAATAGTTCCTTGTTACATACAGATGCTCTCTATTGTTAAATTTCACAAGTCAGAATAAAGAGCAAGCAGTCATGAATTCCAGAAACTACACACTTTATTGTTTTAGCCAGAATATTTTGGATATGTGTGTATAGTTGTTGTAAAGCTACACAATGTTTGATGCAATAAAAATGCAGCAAACAACAAGTAGTAAGCCCCATGTGGAAGTGCTAGAATTCATTGAACAAGTCTTCTGTCAAATCTGACTTGTTTCAGTTTGTCCATGGGTACATGTATAATTGCACATACTCTGTTAGTAAATCTGCTAGATTGATTATTCAATTCTGTATCTCATTAAACGGTGTCACCAATCCAGAAATGAAAATTCAGGACACGTAACCAAACAACTGCAGAAAATTACAAGAATTATTATAATTTTTTAATGGCTAATCATTATGTAACGTTAAGCATTGTCATCAAGGACTGAGTGCACAGCAGTAGTAGCAAGAAAAGCAGATGTCTGAAGTTCCGTTTACCTTGTCCCACACATTTACGCTACAGTAAATAATACATATTGGAATGTCAGTAACAAAAGCCCTGCTGGTCTACAGATGTATGTACTTTAGATCTGGTCCTACAGAATGTTAACAAATGAAAAGTGGAAGATATGACCAACTCGAGTATGACTTATAAGGAAGTATGTAATTTCCACTTAATAGATTATACAATCTCAAAATTTGGGACACCTGGCAGAAGCACAAATGTATGTAAAATTTAATACATTCTGCCAAAGGCCTATTAGTACACTTACTATAATAGTGTTACTAGTGTAGATAGCACCCTACACTTTCCTCTGCCAAAAGTGCATTTCCTGTCTCAAAGTCAATGCTTACTTGCATTATAACATGAAACTGGTGACCAACACCATCATAGACTTCCAGTAAGCAATTTAACCTATTCTTTTTCCATACATAATCTATCATTTCAATGCTAATGGGACTCAAAAATAGATGCCGTGTAAAAATGTACATGTATTATATCTTTGTTTACTACAGTACTTAGCAGTGGTGTCCTCTGCAGTGTTTGTAAGTGCCCAATGACTTGACTAAGCGTTATAGGTGCCCGCTGACACGTCCCCTCCGGTGCCAGTCCAGTTGGTGTGGTGAAACTTGCCAGGAGAGTCCAACAGTTCATAGGTGTGGGCACCAAAGTAGTCGCGCTGGGCCTGCAATGAGATTCATGTACAGAGTTATTCATCCAGCTTATTGGTTTGTCTAGTGGGGTTGTCTCAAGCATCTGACACCCTCTTCAGGACAGTCGCAAGAGTATGAAAATTTTTGGGGGCAACGTGTTTGTCCATCAGAAATTCTGTAGAATCTCCCCTCTGTCATAGGTAGTCTTTGAATCCTTTACAATATTCTTAATTAGGTCTTTATATAATCAGATGCTTACAGATGATTAATTTAGGGGGCAAAAGTACACAACTTCACATTCTTCTATTACTTTCACCAATTTGAACTGTGTAAAGCAACAAAAACAAACAAACAAACAGTGATGATAAACAGTAAATAATACCTGGATGAGGTTGGCAGGCAGCCTGGCAGACCTGTAGCCATCATAGAACGCCAGCGCAGTGCTGAAGGCTGGGACAGGCACTCCTGCTGTCACTGCCATGGACACCACTTGCCTCCAGGACTCCTGGGCACACAGGAATTCAGATTTTTCATATTAATTATTTTATTACAAAAGATGATATTTGTCATGGCTCTATAGAAAGGTTTCCCAACTTACTCCCCCACACTTCACTAATTTCATCCAAGCTACATTTGTACATGTAACAAAAAGACTTCCTATCTCTTTCTTTACTTTTTTACTGTTCCCTACTTAACATTTTTGCACACTTATTTGTACCAAGGATGTAACAATTCAACACATGCATACGGGAGGGAGGTCATCAGCTACAGTCTTACAAGAGACACCTGTTGACCACGAGAAGAAGTGCAGGCTAGGGAAAAGAAGTACAGTAGATACTTTAGAGGGAAAGACAAAGTTCATTTTAAGAGCCAGGATCTTAAAGATCTTTACCCACCTGGCAGTCGGCGATGGCCGTCTTGAAGAAGTCGTCCAGCAGCAGGTTGGTCAGGTTGGGGTTCTTGTCGAAAGCCTCCTTGATGTTACCAAGGAAACGGCTGTGAAAGGTTGACAAAATGCGGTTACAGAGATGCATGAAAACATCTGGGCCACAGTGTACAGTAAAAAACAGCTGAACATGCCTTACACTACTGTCCCTGTCCTTAGTGCTGAACATACCCACACTTACACTACTGTCCCTGTCCTTAGTGCTGAACATGCCCACACTAACACTACTGTTGCTGTCCTTGGTACTAAATATGTCCACTCTTAACACCATAGTGCACTACACCCAAAGTTTTTTTTTTGCCTGACACTGTCATCAGTATGCTGAATTTATAGCAGCTTTACATATGTAACCCTACACAAATATCTAGGTGCACCAGCCTGCACCAGTGTACCGAGTAAAAAGTGCACAGCTTTAATTCTAATTACACAAAAGTGCATAATTGTGCACCCAGCATATCTCTCGCCCTTCAAACCCTCACCTCCTGATGATACAGCCTCCCCTCCACATCAGAGCGATGCCTCCGTAGTTCAGGTTCCAGTTGAACTGGCGCGCCGCCTCGCGGAGAAGCATGAAGCCCTGCGCGTACGACACGATCTTGGAGGCATACAGGGCCTGGGGGGTACAATAAGTAGTTTATTACAGGAATTAAAATGACACTAAACTGGGAACTTCCATACAAAGTACTTGAGCTAGATCTCTTCTTCATTATCGGTACCTGCTATTAGCTAATTTGGTCTGACAAGAAATAGTGAACAGTGTTTCTATATGCCAGCATGATTTTCCGCTTAGCACATATATGAGGGTTGAGTAGGTCTCTTATGTAGTGAATTGGTGAAGCCAAAGACATCATAATGGCTTCAAGATGTTTTTTAACAGACTTTAACACTGAGTAATTAGCACCAAATATTGCATATTATGTATGCTTTATATGAGCTGATCTACTACAGCTGCCATTTCATAGCAGTTCATTGCAACATACTTCAGTGACAGTTTCTTTTCAAAGCTCTGTGTCCAGATAAAGACATAAGAAGCACCTTTCTGATTTGCTCGACAAAAGCAGGCTTGTCTATTTTGGACGTGGGTGCGTTGGGGCCGGGGAGCTGTTTGCTGGCTTCCACACGCTCCAGTTGTAGGGAGGACAGACAACGGGCAAACACAGCCTCACCTGGGGAAACATGTGGTATTAGAATATACATGTGCAATATTATCTAGTATTAATAGTATTTTCATCTATGTGCAGTATAAGAACCTATATAACATGGAATATTTATGTGCGATGGTTGTGCTCTTAATCACTGTTGATCTGTTTTAATGGGCTGATAGAGGTTTTTCATCACCTCAACATGATTAGTTAGAAGTGCATTGATTGGATGCTTATGATGGCAAATCAGTCAACTGACCTATGAGGGTGACTGGCATGCCATAGTCCAGGGCTGAGATAGCCGTCCACTTCCCAGTTCCTTTCTGTGGAGAAAGAATATACACATTGACTTGATTTGAAGTACAAATACTAATGCACTATCAGTAATCCTCCACGTATGCAAACTTTAGATGTCCAAGTGTTCAAGCCAAGACATTTTTGAGAAGGCCTTGATAACATTGTCTTTTAATGTGAAAGTCTTGGGGTATTGAGTTATGAAAGTTGACTATGCTATACAAGCCATCATCATTGTTCTCAATATCACTTTCTAGTCAATGAAGTAAAATGAGATAAAATAAAAAACATAAGCCTCCTGACCTGTCCAGCAGCATCCCTGATCTTGTCCAGCAGATGTTTCCCATCGTCATCGCGGAACTTCAGGATGTTTGCCGAGATCTCGATCAGGAACGAGTCCAACTCACTCTTGTTCCACTCAGTAAAGGCCTGCAGAAAGGGCAAGGTTGATTGGTCAGATGGAGTCACATGATGATGCATTCTAAACTTTAACTGGTCAAGTGGAGTCACATGATCACACATTTTTGGTGAGGGAAGAAGCACACCATACATACTTTTCACTGTTTGGTACAAGTGCAAACAATGCTTGTTGCTGCTGTGAAATTACTAGTACATAATTCTGGATTATTTTTTCACTGGACCCCATGCCAAGAGGGAATTCTATGAAACATCTTAACTACTAACAACTACAGTTTCGGTAAGACAGTTCAAAGCATCAGAACTAAAATGGACTATGTCGTACCTGGCTCATCTCATCGTTGTCCATCTTCAGCACATCCTTCATGAGATGATAGGCCTCACAGATCAGCTGCATGTCTCCGTACTCTATCCCGTTGTGAACCATCTTCACAAAGTGGCCCGCACCATCCTCACCAACCTAGCATGGAGGGACAAAACATTCTCAACCTTAATCTTAACTCCTCACTTCTTGCTGTGTGCCTTTGTCAAAATGCTACTGAATTAGTGTTAAGGCAGTGTTCTAGCCAGCCTGAATTTTTTCCGTCATCTCAATTTGTTTCATGTAACACATTCCTCATCTTCATCTTAACTTCTACATCTAATCTCTACTTTGTTGCCCTTACTTGGTTGCATTGGCATCACATGGGTAATGCTACATTAGTAGCAGGTACATGGCAGGGTTTTAAGCAAGTATTGCTGTGCAAGCACATCTGACTCTCAGAAGTCGGGGAGCAACAGATGATAAACCGGATAGTGAGTGAGTGAGTGAGTGAGTGAGTGAGTGAGTGAGTGAGTGAGTGAGTGAGTGAGTGAGTGAGTGAGTGAGTGAGTGAGTGAGTGAGTGAGTGAGTGAGTGAGTGAGTGAGTGAGTGAGTGAGTGAGTGAGTGAGTGAGTGTAATGCCTCTGTCTTCTGACAGCAATGTGACCATATTCTGTGGGTACAACAGTTTGATGTGTATGCTGAGAGTCATATCATTCAGTTGTTGATTGGTTGATACGTTTGTACCTACCCAATCACAGCAAGGCTCTTTGCCAACTTTGGCTGCAACACTCTGGAAGATTGGCTTGATGTGTGGCCTGGGAAAAACCAGAGAAGACAGGTGCATCTCAGAATTCATCAATGACTTATGATCATATACAATTGTCATCACATATCTATTCCTTGAGAAGGGGCATAACCAACTTAAATTGAGTCCTTTGTAAAGGTAACCAACAGCTCTATCTATTCAAACTAAGACAGTTACCACTAATACTGTAAAACAACAGTGCACATTCCCAAATCCCCCCAGGACTCACCAGGCTTCAGGAGATCCCCCAGGCATGAGGGAAGGTCCGTACCTCGCCCCCTCCTCACCTCCACTCACCCCGCTGCCCACAAAGTGAAGACCCTTCTCCTTCAGAGCTGCACACCTTCTCTATAGGGGAGAAAATAATGGTTACCAGGAGTTATTTAGAGTAGGACATATGATTTCCTTTACAGCCTTTACTACTTGTACAATAACAAAATGTTTCCTTTTCCTACAAGGAAGTAAATATGAAAGAATATAAAAAGGACTTACCCTGGAGTCTGTGTACTCGGAGTTTCCTCCATCGATGATGATGTCACCCTTCTCTAGCAGAGGGACCTGAGGAAATGCAGAAACATCTGATGATCACATTTTGCAATGAACACAGTGGACAGCCTGAACAACACGTAGACGCTAGAGCCTGACTAAATCATGCTCCTGGTGGCCAGCGCTAGCCTAGGCCTGCCTGATCGTTGCTCGTGGAACAATCAGACATTTCGGACTGCTGGGAAGTATTGGAAGGTACTGGTACATCATGCTATCCACGACTTCCTGAATTTACCGGGACGGCAGAGCCATTTCCTGTTTCTGACCTCTTGATTTCTTGCCATTCTGCCTGTCAGTCTTCCCCCCACCCACATGCTGTCAACCTTTAATGTGGACAGACACACAATATCCCAGTTCTGCCACCCTAAACAATACCTCTGCATGCAAGAATTTGTTTGTTGTTTGTTTGTTTGTTTGAGAGTAGAAATGAAAAGTTCCCCACCAGTTTGTCGATGAAGGCGTCAACTGCTGACCCAGCCTTGACCAGCATCATGACCCTCCGGGGCTTCTTCAGCATCGCGACCATCTCCTCCAGCGAGCGAGCGCCCACAACCTTCGTCCCCTTCGCCTCCTTAGCCAGGAAGTCATCCACTTTGGACACCGTACGGTTAAAGGCACAGACCTGGAGGGTAACAGATGTATACAGTAGATCAAGAGGGCTGCTTGGACAAGAATGTCAAACCCAGTGAGGATCTGAGACAAGGGGGGTACAAACTTAGAGACGTTTAGCCAGGTTGTCTAGTACCTACACAGAGTGGCGCAAAGCAGTACTCCAGCTAGCGACTCTAATTCTCCCTTGATTGTTTAAAGATATCTGATAGGTATCAAGCAGACGTATTAAAAGATGTGACATTGCTGGGTTTTTCAAGAAAACTCCAGTCTTCCTGGAGAATTATTCAATGCTTGGGAATGATGTTGAGGTTACTAAGTCCTTTTGTACCAAATCTCTAGTTATTCAATGCAGAACATGGCTATTTATAAAGTGAGGAGACAACTTACCACAAATCCATGGTCGTTCATGTTCAGGATCAGGTTCTGACCCTACAAAACAGCAATCATATATTGCAATTATTAAGAGTAACATGTTAAACAGTAGAGTTATTAGATAGGGTATATAGACTTATTGCTGCTTCAGCTTTTGTTTGATACAAACAGCCACTGTGTAGTTTCATTGAAATTTGAATTCATTATATGACTAAAGCAACTAATGGCTAAAAGAATAACTGACATGTCATATTGTATTATCGATACTGCTGTCGTAAACTTACCATGACTGCCAGTCCAATAAGGGCAATGTCAGCTCTGAAATAATACAAAGGGAACTGGTTAACAATTCAACATTAAACAACAATACTTTTCAATTTGTTTTGTCTGAATATTTGATTTATTAATTATTATTAGAATAGAAGGTCAACACTGGTATTTTCATAGTCTCATTGTGTCTATTGTGCTCTTATAATATATATTGAATCATTTCTCAAACAGTATTGTCAACTGTAAAGGTTAAAAATTATCCAGCCTGACATAGCTATACTACATTTGTACATAAATGATAAAGCTTAAGTTATGCAAGTCACAGCCAGTTGTTCTCAGCACAAGCAATAAGACAACATCATAGCTTCTGGCAGTATTCAGAGCATGACACACAAGAAATATTGTATTTGCAATGCAATGATGGGTGAAAATTCTGCTTGTCATCTTGAATCCTGCATATGTGTGTGTGTGTGGGGGGGGTAACATAAGGCCAGTTGATGAGTTGACTGATTGATGGAAATTGATTTATTGGATGTTCAGGGTGGTTGATGGTACTACAATTTCTTCTAGATCTAGTGGAACACAAAAATAGTCATTTTGCTGAATCAATGTGACCAACACAAACTACAAATGTATCAGATTTCTACAACACCTGCTCATCAAGCGTAGAGTCATTTTTCTTCAGTTTGCTAAGGAACATTAGGCTGGCTAAACTTGTTAACAACTACAACATTATAAGCCCTGTACAATAGAGAGGTCTGTAACCTGATAGTTTCTGGGAAACACGACTTCCTGTACCAACTTCCTCAATACCAAGAAGCGTGTACATGTTTACTGTGAGCTTTAGAATCTCACTTTAGCCTTCAGGGTCCTTTTATCACAAAGTGAAGAATGCTGAGTGTAGCTGGAGTGGTCGGACCAGTTTTCACTCCATTTGTTTAGAGGCCACTGTTTCTTTAATTCGAGGGCACCTGTTTGACCCTATAGCCCCACCCTTAATAATGAAAGAACCATAAAACTCTGCTTTATCTATTAATAAAGTAATTAACCTAGAATGGGACAAATGTCAGGCCAGGGCACAAAACTTACAGGTTAAACGATCGTGTACTGAGGGAAAACTTTTCTAAAGGACACCACACATCAGAGGTTGAACTCAAGTAACCCCATCATATAACAGGAAGAAAATTACACGTAAAAAATCGTACATTTCACAACAGCAGAATAATTTCCGTGTGATCTATTGTCCAAAGATTACAATAAAACATTCCCCACATATCTACCCACAAACTTGCTAACTTGAATTCTTGTCTTTTTCGAATTTCCTTCAGTCGATTACTAGTAATACCCGGGTACCCCGGCATGACTTCAACACGGAAGTAACCCTAATACCCTCCGTTTCACAGAATTCTACACCTTCAGCGAAGGCAGCAAGTATCTATTTGTTACCAGATATGTTGCTAAACGTGTCGACTTACTGTGGTTCGGGTGCCATGGCGAAATCTCGACGAGATTGTCCAGAAATATCCGGAGTAAAGAAGAGGGGTGTGTGTCCCGTGTGCTCTCAGCTGGGCAGAAGGGTGACCAGTGCGCAGCTGTTCTGAGCAGCCTGCAAGTCATGCACCGCGGAACAGCGCACCTAGCGGAAACTTTGTGAACAGCAGGTAGTCTAGCACACGAACATTCAAACTTTTGATTCACTTGAACTGAACTTCACTTTGTACTTGAAAGTCTTTACTTACCCGTTTCTTTTAACATATGGCATTTTTCTATAGCTAAATATGATTTTGAGACAATGAGACAGTAAGGTACAAATGACAAACTATATACAAAACATTTTATTGACACAATTTCTAGGCATAATTGGACTCAGACAAGAAGGGCTTGTATCATGTCGCCTTCAAGTGTACAAGCCAAAGTACTGGTTTTCAGCAACTGGAGATCTTGTACGCTTTTAGCAGTCCTGGTACAAAAATACATCCTGTATGTCAGCTCTTCTCATTCTTCAAGTCTTCTTGCCCATGATGTTCAGGACAAGCTAGCTGATGCATTGCATGTAGTGTCACCAATTGTTTTGCCCTTCTTGTGTGCTTCAAAACACACACACAGGCCTGGCGATGGAATGTTGGGAAGATGGATCACATGATCTGGTTGGCTGTGATGTCATCATATTCTATTTTTAGGATATGATGTCCAGGAACCATGGCCAGTCCCAGCACCCGGGGATCATCACCTGATGTGCTATCTGTAAGAAGAGGCAATAAAAGACACATTGACAATATGGTAACCATTGTTCAGTCCCTCCAACTCTGCCCTGCAACTTGTATGCTACATACATGTACTAGCAATTGTAATGCAACACAACAGGCTAGTGTCTGCTACAGCACTAGTTACCATGGTAACAGACATCTGGTTGACCTTACGTGTTTAAAGAACAAGAAGAAAAAGAGCAAAAACAACATGTTTTTGTCTACGAAGGTAAACATAACTACCTGGATCTTGTATGTACTCCTGACATGACCCCAGAATAACGTTTTTGTCCCTGTCTGTACAGAGGAAGACCCCGATCAGAGTCCTCCCATCTGTCATGCTCACACGCAGACTCTTGTTCAGCCAGCTACGGAGTTTCCGCCGGCCCTCGCTTTCTTGTGTATCTGCATCAAACTGTGCAAAATATTTGTTTTGATTATAAAAGAAAAATAAACACCAACATTGCATCAGTATTTTCTTGCCAAAACTGCCAAAAAACGACATGTAATCATGCTTGCTATAGTGCAATGGCCCTATATTCTATTCATTGAATAATTTCTACGGATGTGCCCTATGCAAAAATATGTGCTTCTCGCAAATTGGTCGAAAATTTTTCTGACACGCACCCCCTCCCCACCGTGACATTATCTCCAGTTTTCGGAAAAAATATTCCACCACAGGCACTGAAACTACCACGTATATCTCCTGATACAATACTTAACACCTAGCATGTGCTGAATCGCCGCTAGATCTAAGGAATTTCGTAAAAATTGAATATTTTCCCCTTACCCTCATTTCTTCCGGTTTCCCCTCCGCCATGACAGTTCTCACGAGAACCTCCGAGAATCGGCGTGAGTTCAGTAAGATCGCAAGGCATTGTGGTCCTGGTCTCTCTTGGCAACCAGGAAGCTTCGCGATCCTCGGTCCGTGTATTTCGTCGTCTTTTCGCGAGTTTTGTCGGCCGAAATGGGGAAATTGGGGCGGCCAAGCTTCTACACGCCGAACGAGGTGGCGATACACAACACGCTGAAGGACCTGTGGGTGTCCTACCTGGGCAAGGTGTACGATTTGACGCCTTTGGCCGAGGAACATGCAGGTAGGATTCCTGTTCTCGCAGTTTAATAATCGAGCCCTGTCCCCTCTCCCCCAACACATAGCTATAGCCTTTGATATTACGTTATACACAAAACAACGTGAACCCCATGTACAATCATAACACACGGAGTATCAATGTTAAGGGCAATACATGAGTTTTCAAAGTTTTATGATAGCGTTGATAATTGCCATGTAATTGATGTAACTATTTGCAGAGCATTGTTTTATCAATCGAAATCAAGTTTCCAAACTTTTTGTCAAGTTTAGTTTCTTGATATTAAACTGTAATCCCTGTCAGCTGTCTAGCTATATCACGTATACAACATGTTTGCAGGTAATGTGTTGCTGAAACCGATCATTGCAGAGGCTGGGAAGGACATCTCCCATTGGTTCAACAAGAAAACGAAAGATGTGAGTGCCTTAATGGTTACCCTCTTGTTTGAGTTTGGACATCACTGACACCAGGCTACATTTATATTAAGAAATCCTTTCTATATTTACAGCACATTAAAAATATAGTCTCTTTGCAAAAGTAAAAAAAGTACCAAATTATAAATCTTTTGTTCCTGTTTTATTTTAAAACAAAAATCATCAAAGGGCAAAACCACAAATGCTCAAAAGCAGCAAACTTCTTTTTAAACATTGATTGCAGTTTTGCAGTTTTTACCAGCTTTGCAGGCACACAGTGCAACTGCAAAGCTGACTTAATACTAGCATAATGCAAGTAGCCTTTGCACATCTAACTGTAGACATTGTTTAAAGCCATGATCAACTTTGTGGACAATAGCCTTAAACATGTATTACATTTTAAACACTCTTTTTCCTTCTCTAGATCCGTACCCACATTGACCCAGAGACCGGTTGTGAGAAGTACTACACGCCACACGGGCGCTTCATCCACATCCCGCCCCCGTACCCACGCACAGACTGGGCCAACGACTTTGGCCGGCCGTGGTGGAAGGACGAGAAGTACTACATCGGAGAACTCTCACAGAAAACACGCTTCATCCGGATCCTCAACACACTCACGTCCCAGGAACAAACCATTGAGGTATGGAAGGATAACTAAAATCTAGTCAATACATAAAGAATACTAGTATATAGGTATCGTATAAAGGGGCATTGAAAAAAATTCTTCTCCACCTAAGTCCTTTACCGTCTTTGAATATAAAAGATTGCAACTAATCTGTTAAATTTTTGGTTAGTGAAGGTCCATAGATGACTCATGAATTTGATTTAAATCTCTAGACTGAATTTAAAAAAAAAAGCGTTTCACCATTTGTTTAATTGCTGAATTTCTCACACTATTCAAAGTTCTCTGCTACTGAAATAAATAAATTTTCCTAGGCCTGGCTCTTTTGAGTCAACAGACTCAACACTCAATTATCCTAGTGTCCAGTGTATCTCAGTGAATGATTGGTTTGGAACATTGCTTGTGTCTCTTTTGATTCAACAATCATATGTATCTTGTTTTCTTTATATGTACCACATTAACTTAGTCTAATCAGTCCACATTTTGCCTTCACACAGGTTTGTTCTGAAGAGTACCTGTCTGAGATCCTGGAGCGGTACCTGAAGTACAACGCTCACGCCGGCAGCTACACCTGGAAGTACGACGGCAAGAACCTGGACATGGGGATGACGCTGGAGGAGAACGAGATATTTGACGAGAGCGAAGACTTCTATGTCCTGAGCATGCAGGAGGAACAGTGGCTCCCGGCCATACATCTGTACTTTAATGATGATCTGACTGAAGCATAGATTTGATATTAACGAAAACTTAAATGGAAAATATGATATCTTTACCTAGGTTCCAGTAATTTTTGATGTTGTACAACTACATGTAAGTAAAGTGGATTTTTCCTTCAGATAGACATGAGATACACAGGAATCAGAATGAGTAACAGGTCTGACCGAAGCATAGTCGTTAAGATTCGATATCAAAGACAAATTTAATGGAAAATATGACAGCATTACCTAGGTTCCTGAATTTTCCTAGGTTGTACAACTACATGACATATGTATTTTTCCTTCAGATACACATGAGGAATCGAGAATGAACAGCAGAATGTTGGGACATTCAAAACCATCCCAATACGATGTTTTTGTCAGATACTCACCATGTTTGACCTGTGGAGATTATATGGCATTTAAAGCATCCTCCCCAAAAGGATGAGAGTGTACAAAGTTCTCTTTTAAACAGTCACAGCATATCATGGAAGATGATTTACATGGCATGAAATTGAACCTTTCAGAAGTAGAGGTGAAAAATTAAAAGAAAAAGACTAATTTGTAAATACTTTGTAAATAACTGTGTTTAGCACAGCTCTGCAAAGAGTCTACTCCAAGCAACATGAAGTGATGTAAATAGCTGGGATTGTCAAATCCGAGTTGAAGGGGTTAGATGTCTTTGAAGTACACTTGTTTTACTGGTATTGGTGTTGTCAATATTTTGTATGACGTGGTGGTTCATCTACATCTAATCATTAGAATTGTTGTAACAGTAAAATCGTAAAATAAAACAATATCAACAACTCTTCTCATTAGTCTTCTTGTATGATGAAATTAAAAGCTAATTAAGTGTTAGTGGGAAGTTGGTCTGTTATATACGCCCTCTAGTGATTGCTTTCATACTGCAATGTCGTATTACATCCGTTTTATAAAATACCGTGACGTCAGGTATGCATATATTGGTTATTCCCTAAGTCTGTCCCCTCTCATATACATGCATCATATATTGAAAAATATATCATTAATGGCCAAACGTAATTCAGCAATAGAGTATGCATGTAATGAAAGATTTTTTTTCTTCCCTTCGTTCCCTGGACATGCTTTCGTTGCAATCGCTTGTTCCCTCAAGTTTGTCAGTCGGTCAGTCTGTTGGTTTGATACCCTGTCTTTGATCAGTACACTGGGACAAGTTTGGCAGTGTGTTGACAGATGTTGCTCTGCACTATACATTTGCCGATTTCATGACATAGAATAATTATCTATATACTAGCCAACCGTAGTTTTGCGTTCTGTAGCTAGTCACGTTATGTAATATATAATATATGATATATAATATATGATATATATGTTGTGCATTAAATGTTTTCCAATCTCTATCTCTCTCCTACACCTCATGTCAGCTGCCGCTGAGGCGGGCCATGATTTCTCTCCATCTGCCTCTGTCTTGCGCCGCTCGTTGCGCCCCCTCCCACCCGCAACCCATTACTGCAAGGTCTCTTTCCACTGTTTTTTTTCCATGTCATCACCTGTCCGCCCCTCTTCATTCTTCCTTGTGGACACCACTTTAGCACAACTTTTGGCATATTTTTCCAATACTCGTCATGAATAACTAATGCATTAAGTTTGGTACAATGTACATGTACTTAACAAAGTAATGCCTTTAGACTATGTACTTAGATAAAGAAAAGTTTGTCAAGAATAAGTACACACATCTAGCCACGCATTATCAAAAAAGCGTCTTGCGTATCCTTCGATTTTATTGTATTGTATGTGTCGTATCAAGACTGCTCAAAAACAGGTGCCCATGCTATCAGCAATCAGACATATTAGTGGTTCTTAATCAAATAAGGTTATAGTAAAAATGTAGACAGGTCAGGGCATGTAATACGCAGGGTCCAAACACATGAAAGACAAGTCATCGTGGGAAATGTCAACAACATTGATTTATGATGCCGGCATTGTTAACTTCGTTTAGTGTTCTTTTCCCATTAGGCCTAAGAAAACTTTCCGACTTGAATCCTGAAAAAATATGGTCAGTAGGTAGGTATTTTTTCTTATCTTTTCTTATTTCGACTGAAGTGATCCATGAAATACAGATTAACAATGTAGTTCAGCCTTCCAAAATGACAAAAAGAAAGTTCCAAAATGGCAAAAAACGTACTGCCATTCCTCGATTACATAATTATGCAGTCATTTACACAATTGTACCGCAAGAAAACATTCAAACCATAAAAAAGTACATCCTGTTCTGAGACTACGGTATGTTAGGGTCGACGAAAACAGGTTATTAATGCTAGGTGGCGCAAGTTGGGGCCTCGTGACGTTGTTGTGGTCGGGCACCCGTCATCTCCCCGAGCCTTCGATCAAGGCTCCCTACGACGCACGCACCTAGTCTCCACCAGACTCCTTTTGCAGGCTGATAATTAGTAGAAATTGGCCTAAAAGGGAATATCATTGGCCATAGGAGATGTCTACCATAGACTGCACAGCATACATAGGAGACTAGCATACACACCACCGTAAAAACAATCCGCTCTTCCATATCCTTCTGTCCATCTTCAGAGCAAGTTACGTATTCAACTCTGTGCACACCCTACAACAGTTGTACCAGTTACCTGTGTTTGCCGTTCAAGGTTCGGCTTCGCACACCGTCCACTACTCTCCAAGCAGAGGTTTGGGTTTTGGGGGTATTTTTAGTGTGTTTTTAGGCTTTTTTTATCGGGGTTTCTCTTTTGCACTGAATTTTTTTCCCCACCAAAAAAAATTCAGTGCAAAAGAGAAACGTTTCTTCAAAGGCCTTAAGTTTCTGATTTCTGACACATCAGGTTCAGTAGGTGGGATTTTTTCGATTTGTTTATTCTTTTAACTTTTTGCTAGGGTCGGTCGGGGAACAACTTTTTTCTAGGCATTATCAATATGGCTCTTTTGGTAATGAATGAATGAATGAATGAATGAATGAATGAATGAATGAATGAATGAATGAATGAATGAATGAATGAATGAATGAATGAATGAATGAATGAATGAATGAATGAATGAATGAATGAATGAATGAATGAATGAATGAATGAATGAATGAATGAATGAATGAGACTTTATTTCCGTGTCGTGCGCTATCCCGCGCCCAGCCCGTGTGGGCTTATACGACACCGATTCAATAAGTTATACATAAATAAAAGAGAATCAAAGCTACTTGTGCCTAGGGTTGCATAATGCTATTGGAGCTGATGGCCTAAGGAAAAAAGACAATATTTACCATGCCCTTGCTGTGCTCCTGTCTTGATTGCTTCCACCAGGTAACCGGGAATTTCCTCACTTGCTGCGGACAAGATGAATACGATCCGATCAAACGTCATGTTGCGATCTACTCGTGCGAACCTTTTTCTGAGCTCATCCGGGGTTTGATTCATGCATTCGATCACGTTGGTGCCGGATGGTATGCGACTGTCAAGTGCCAGTGAGACGATCGTAGAGTACACTTTATCGGTGGCATCAGGAAATCCGGCACAGTCCCAGAAGACGACGTTTTTCTTGTAGGCTGGCATTGGGTGGTCTTCGTCTACTTCTTTGCAACTGCATGAGGAAAATATCATCATGTTGGTATTTCCGTACATTTTTTAAACAATTGATGTACAAAGGTGATGAGCAGAAACCGCACTCGATGAAAATAATGAAGCATCGTCTCAAGAAATAGGGCGGAAACTTTTCAGAACCAATTAAAAACAGCAACAACTAGAGTTCGGAGGACTCATGCCTTCGACAGATATTGTTTTGGAGGGTGTTGTGTGTGTGTATAGTGTAGGTTTTTTGAAGATGATTATCGTAGTTATAGTGGTCAGAGAGTCCTTTTGTGAACGAAGCAACATACTATTTACCTAGCCTGTACCATGTCTAGGACTTTACCATGGCAAAATGGACGCCACTCAGCCCGGAAATCAGGAATTTTTTAAACAATTTTTTGCGAAATTATCTAGAAAAATCGGGATGTAACACCATAAATTTGGAAAGCAGTATACTGGCGCTGAGCGGGGAGTAGCCTGGCGCCGCCGTTCATACGTCTCAGAGTTTTAGCCCACAACAGCGCTGGACTTTGTATTACTGCGGAACACCACCGGCCTGTCCTCCAGGGAGGCCCCAGGGGTATACCTGGCAGTGCTAGGTCAGCCTCGGGTGACCTACCCAACACGCCTTTCCTGTCACTGCAATTTAACCTGAATATTGGAATAAATGTCTTCTTGTTGAAACGTAACATTTTCCACGATCGAGTAGATCCTTTAGTTGCCGGTTATACCTCAAGTCGGGGATACTGTTTGGCTATGTCCGTTTGGTTCGGGGATACTGTTTGGCTATATCCGTACTGTTTGGTAGCCCATATGGTGTACATTTTACCCTAGCCTTCCAATGTTGACTTCTCAATTTCACCTCCACATGACCCATAGGAAGACTCCTAGTACAATCCTACCCAAAGTGTTTTTCCTTACGTACGCCCGATTATGCATGAGTTCTCAGCTAACACGACTTTCTTCTGATGGCCCAAGAAAGTTTCAAACCTGCTCTTTCACCCAGGTCATTTCAAGTTATTTTTTCATACTAGATCGTACAGTATACAGTCTTTTTGCCCGATAGAAACAAAATTTGTGATGTGGTTCAAATCATGTTTGCATCATAGTAACATACCGTATGCACAAATAACACAAATGCATGAATGTTTCGAGGCCAACTTTGCAGGAAATACCCCAAGGCCAGATGTGCCGCACTCTGAGGACACAGAGGTGTCAATTAGCAGCGGTTAAGCATGCAAGTTGTTGACAGGCGATGTTATTTCAACAAACAACCGTTAGAATATTTTTCCACGGTTGACAGCTCCCTGCCTGTAAATTGTTATTTTAACCTACATTCGTAGTAACCTTACATAAAACGATCGAGAAGGAGCAAAACCTGGCCTGCACTTATGAAAATGTTCTCACAAAATGTCCCATTGCACTTACCCACTACCTACTAGAGACTCCAAACTTGAAACCCTCAATCTAAACCCCTTGACCTATCCACAATAAAAAAAAACAAGACATTGCTTTTCCACAACTTGAACTACTGACAAACTAACCAACAATCACCAAAAGCCCACTACAGCAACGTACGGACCTCCCACTTCGCCAATTTTGCAAGGGATCTGTTGTTTCAACAAACAGGAATTTTTTTCCAGCTATCCTTGTTTGCATAAGTCAATGTAATCCGCAGAGGGTGGGAACCAAAAAGGTCTAGTGCAGTATAAAAGACATTT